CACCGACCCTTTACTTGCCGCTTTCAGCCTGGCTTCAGATCTGGAGGTGTGCGAGGAAATGGAAGCGGAACACAAGGTTAGGCACAGAGCTTTTGTGAAGCGTCTATAGCTGTAAGTGACGACTGCTGAAGTTGTGTTTTTGGTGCATGTGGCAATGCTAAAAATCAAAACCTCTTCTGTGTATTCTTTTCTATGAAAGAAGTGCACGCTCGGAAAGTTGTCGAGTGGTTGAGAAAACCAAAGGTAATCATCGGCCGACAAAACTGTCGATGGCCCCTATTAGGGGCTACTTAAGAAGCAAGCTAAAATTACGGGTATGACTTCCTGACATATGCCACTACCAATTTACCAACAAGCGAACCATAAAAGAGCTGATCATCTCATTACGGGCTTCGGACAAACCGTTCCAGACTAACGTTATTAAGACAAGTGCAGGTGCTGTGAGCATTGTAACTGATCCGTGTGCAAAAGAGCGTTTTGAATGATATCACATACGAACTTACTTTTGATAATTCTCAGTGTACATCACGATTAATATCTCAAATTCTACGCTGGCTTCAACCAAGACTGAGAGGAAACCTAATTAGCATAGAGCAGGGAGCAAGGATTATGCTAGAGTTGCCGATACATCCATGCTTATCTGCCTTGTCTTATGAAGCAGTCAGATGGTGAGCAATATCAATGGCATTAATTTAATGCTTAATCATAAACATGCGAGTATGACAAATTTCATGTGTTCGTATGCGCGAGAAAACAAAGACGCAGTTTCCACGCGTTTGTCCAAACACTGTCCTGAGCTATGTTTAGAAAATTTCAGCCCTTCAGTTCCGAAATTACAATAAGTTTTTGGCAGCTGTAATTTTGCAACGCTACTTGCCGCTAACTGATGTGTCCGAGGAACGAAACTGAGCTTTTCAGCCCCTTTGCATCTCACGTACTGATACGTGAAAGTTCTCCACGTAGGCAGTGTTGCAAGTTTGGAGTTGATGTAACTGGAGGGCTGAAATTTTCCGAACACAGTCGATGGCGGCTTTTGACTAAGTGGACGTAAAAACGTCCTCTCCATGTAGCCTGTGCGCTTCATATGCGCACACGTGAAATTTAACATAGCTCCTCAACTATGTCGTTTGGAGTGCTGAAATTTTCTGAGCATGGCCCAGCACCGCGTTTGAGTAGTGCACGCAAAAACAGCACTAACTTTTCCCCTCACGTACGAGCAGAGCACAAATTTGACGTAACTCCGCAACCAGAGTATCTAGAGCGTTAAATTTTTGGACAATGATTGGGAGCCACTTTAATATCTGACATTCATGGTGGCCAGTCTCAATTCTTTTAGCTAGAAGCACTTGCCGGAAAAAACTGCGCCTTTAGCAATAAAAACGCGCGGAAGGACCATGCAAAAAACACACCGGGGGAGGCGGGAGGGGGAAGCGGAGGTTCGGTTCGCCGGCTAATGATGATGCTAATTTATTCCTGAAATGCGTACACAATGATCCTTTCAACAGGCGAAACGAGCGTCAAGATCGCCAGCATTTTGACCACCATGCGATGTAGCATTGGTCAAAACAAGTGGAATAATTACCAGCTGCACCTTTGTCATTAATTGCAGCTGAACAAATGCCCAGAAACTGCAAGAAAGATGTTAAAAACTGAGGGACGAAGTTTCTTTCATGTGTTAGATGAAAGACTTGAACACAGCTTCCAGACCTTTTGGTGTTTAATTTGAATTTTAGACCAAATCATTGCTGCAGTCCGTTCCCTCTTAATCCCTTCTTCCCGAAAAATAATGAGATGCAAGCAACTTCCGTCCCAGTCGCTACATCACGCACGATGGCGGATTTTGAGGTGAAGCAAGCAAAAAGTAATGATTTCGGCATGAAATACAGACAAATTAAGCTTTAAATTTGCTTATATACTTGGATTATTACCGCCCTCTTCCCCCCGCTTGCATTTCGTTATTTCAGCTGTTTTTAAATTCTTCTAAGCATTTTCTCAATGACTGTCGTTCAGACTATCTGTGCACTCTGGAAAAACTAAGTACATAAGCGCTTAGTAAGTGGGAGCTATTTCACTTACGACCGCTTCTGACAAGTTTGGCGACTAAATAGATAAATTTGGCGACTAAATAGATAAATTTCTAAATGTATTCCCCGCATTTTTTACGGCATACCAAAGAGGGGCAATTTTGCAATTAGATAAATTTTTCTGGTTGACAGCTAAATTGATAACTTTCCAGATGTATTTTCTGCATTTTGTAAATAATCGATTATTAGATTAATTGTTGGTGAGATAATAGATTAACAGCTGAAATAGGAGCAAAATGGAAAATGAAATGATAAAAAATGATGGATAAACAATCCAATCAATTTTATACATTTAAAGGCGCAGGACTCTAAGCATGCACCAGTCCATGGTACATTTGCAACTACTCATCTTTGGACCCATGAACTCCGTACTTTTGCTGCAGGTTGCATACGGTGAGTTGCGCAAAAATGTCACGGAATTTGCACTGAGGATTGCTGAGCAGTGCTGGAATATGGATGAAATCGACATGCTGCTATCGCAAAAAGAAGGCGCAGCGTTGGCCGATTGCGAACTTCGCTTCCCACGCATAACACTTGCTCTGCAGGCGCATATGAAATCGGTTTCAAATTTTCTGTGTTACTGACTCCAAACAAAGCAACAGACTTTAAAAACTCGCAGTTGGAACCGCATTTTTGCAAATGTGCAGGGGAATCAAACTTTTCTCACAGATACAAGACCTTAGAAATGTTTCACTGGCCAGTGCTGAATCGGCTTTGAGGATGTTTCGGGAATAACGCAATTAGAATAATCTGACAGCATAGTTCAGAGATCGAGCACTCTTTTAAAAAAAAATATGAATCGGACCACTCATCTTCACATCCGGGCACCTATAATCTGTACGTATGGTACTTCCACATATGCTGTTTGTTTGGGTGCTGCACTGGCGCTGCACACGTTTTAGCATCTGTCGGCTTTCCGCTGGGCTTCCACTATAAATTTGGTTTATTCTTCCCTTCAGTCCACTTGTTTGGTTTACCAAATGTGACTTACTGGAAATCGCTTTAGTTCCTTGCATCAATTGGTGTGCAAACGGCAATGGAAGGTCAGTGGCACGGAATGTGGATGAGTTACGGCAGAACGCCGCTTCAGGATTTCAGTCGCAATGTTCGGCACATTGTGTTCTATCCAATTCTCGCAACGCTCCATGCCTTAAGCGCTGGAAAAATGGTTAAAACATTCAAATATCCACTTGCAAGGTTAGAATCAAGACTTTGCGTTTATCTTGTGCACTGAAAAAAGCTTTTTTTCTACAAAAATCGACCCCATCTTTTTCTTCAGCAGCCATAGCAGTGCTGAAGCACGTGAGTTTTGCAGCTTGGCATATTGAGAAGCACGCCGAATTTTGTGTGGCTAAGCTTGAACAATGCAAACTGGCGGCCTCTGTAGGCAAAAATGAGCGCGCAATTCTATTCAGCAGATGCTCACTGTTAATGATGCATACAGTGATTGTCGAAATATTGTCTGATTAGGAAGCTAGAAAATTCCTCGCCCAGAATCTCACTTTTTCACATGTAAGGCCCATCACATTTTAAAGAAGAATCTAAATTTCCAAGCTTGCAAGCGAACAGGAAATACTGTGAAATTTCAGATTCCAAGCTTTTCTGGTTTCCGAGTTGGTAAATTTCGCGCGCCTGCGTGTGAGATTTAAGAGTATACGAACGGTGAATTTTAATTTGCATGGTCAGGCATGAGCAGGAAACGTCGCTCAACAACAGCTTTCTAGCTTTTCTGGCTACTGGAAAAATTGCTGTAATCACATCTGACAAAAATCAAAGCACACACGTACGCATACTGATACATACAAGCAGAAGCTCAAGGCGACATGCGTCTTGGCTGCTGTTGCAGCGTAAAATAAATAGAAGCACGGGAATTAGAAGTCAAATGTTTTCCTATTCATTTTCTGCTAGAAGAAAGGAACTCGACAATTATTCAGAGTTTTATGACATTTTAAAAGCAAGCGCTTCTAACACGGTTGTCGATGATCCCTCGCTCGAGAGCTACATAGAAGCAGATTAATAGTATTATATATTTGACTAGTGAAATTTGCGAAGATAAAAAAGAATTTATTTATTTGGATAATGTTAAAGCTTTTTAGGTATATAAGTCGACTAGCCAGTTACATATTATTTTTAATTGTCTTGATATGCATACGATATTTTGGAAGAGAGGGAGATCGGGCAGCCGAGCGAACACTTCTTGACAGCAGTAAGCACAACTTTGACGATAAAGTCCGTCGCCCTAGTAGCACTACTAATATGAGACAACAAAATATTGGTTTAAGTGTTACATGTATGAAGGCATGCTAGGAAGCAGTCTGTATCTCATCTCTTAGTTGCAAACAAAAACCGAATTTTATGTGCGAGTAGTGGGAATCATCAGTACAGCCTCCGACCCAACATGTACCGAACAGTCATGTGACTAATTTGCAAAAGAGAAAACAAAGGAGAAAACAAAAAGAGAACAAAGAGGGCGTGAGAGGCAATAAAGAAGAGGAAATTAACCCGTGGTACGGAGATATTCGCCCTGTATATCTGGGCTATCTTGGGCTCTCCCAACATTGCATCTAGAAAACAACTAAAGCGAGTCTCGCCTGGCTGAGAAAAGTTATGGAAACCCAAGTGGCATTAATATGTATACATCTCAAAAACGCCAGTGCGTCATCATGGATTTCCAGGATTTCATTTGGTCGTAGTGTCATTTAGCTTCTACACCGCGTAAACCGGTCCGATCATGTAGCTTCAATGAAATTGAGCTGTGCACTCTTTTAATTGTGCATAATTTTCTTGGCTTTTAAAGCGTTCCTGTAATGATCAGGCATTTTTTGAAAATAGAATCACTGTAGATGTACGTCTGGTACTGGAATGTTACGTGTACTTGTACGTTTACGGAATGGCTGTTTTGCATTATTTCGATTTTGCAAGCAAAGGACTGGAAAATTTCTACGAATTATGGTGGCGATGGTAACGCTTTTCGTTGTGTTCCGTCTTCGGAGCCGTACAATCCCATGCGCCGCGTCATCTGTTTTTCGAACATTCTTTTTTCCTCACTCGTGATATTGCTTTTGTTCAGAATCCGATCAAAATAATTAGAATAGAATAGAAGTAGGACTACAAATCATATTTATAATATTAATACTTCAGCCCTTAAAAAAGATCTAATGAAAGTAATAAAATGGTACGGTGTTGGTGAAGATATAAAATATTGTTAGATATAATAGAAATGCTTACCATCATAAAAATGAATTAGTGATGATTGTAAACAATATAGTAAAAAATTTAGATTTGATTTTGCAGTGGGTGAGGAAAAAGATGGAAGGAAACTAATGAAACGTCCAATTTTTTTTTAATATTTCCTAGATTTTGGGCTCCTAGCGGAAAAACCATGGTATTCCATAAGAATTACAGATATTTTTTCAACTACTCAAAATTTCCAAACGAAATCAAAATTCTTCCATGCTTGTTTGCATCGAGAACGTAAAAACATTCAAAGATACCTCAAATGTTAGCATTTGCAGTAACTGCCTATGCCCACAAGGCATTTGATAATCTCGTTCTTTGAGCGGGGAAATGGTTAATGGTGGTTATAATTCCTTAAAATGTGCCAGTATCAATTTACCAATTAGAGCACTATACAAAATGCGTGTATTATAACATTTTTTTTTCTCAGATATTATATAAATTGCACATATTACGTAGGTGGAAGGTGCTGTACACCACAGTATGTTCCATCTACAGTATCTGCACTCTGTACATTATATGAGCTGAAAGGTTGCTTCATATATTAATACAAAGTTCGCAAACATGTGATGGAACTACGCAAGAATATTTGTATAATTATATGCATTGGAAATTTTCTGTGCAGCGTAAGCATCACCTCAAAAGAAAAAGATTTGGCATTGTATGTATGTGAAGGAACTGTACTTGAAAGTCGAGTCTTAAGATCATATATTAAGCATTCTAGCTTATTTGCGTTTGTGCTTTAGTGCGCGTTTTATTATTATGCAGGATTTTTTTTTGCAAAATTTGCAGGTTCGACCTATTTTTATTATGGCTTTTCTCGGGATCATTTTTTTGCTGGGTTATGACAGCAGCCACTATTCGACAGGATGGACTCGCGCGCTTGCACCGGAGACATTGGGTTTGTTCTGTTTAAAATCCTAAAATATCCGTTAAAGTCACCGCTCCGGTCAGCAAGCAGCTAAAATTTTGGAATATTACAAAAGATCAATGAAAATTCAACTACGGACACTGCTAAAAATTTTCAGCGTAAGAATGCTAGAGTTTCTCCTTTTCTATAATTTTTATAATTCTTCTTTCGAATGAATGTTTCTTCTTTTCAGTGTAAGAGGGGTGAATGGTAAGGAAAAAGTTTACAAACGTTCGCGTCTCACCCGCACGTATACCTAGCTTTTTATCTCAGAATTCAGGTTGAGAGCAGGGATTATTCTCTTTTCTGGGCCTTCTCAAAGAGGAAAACTAGAATATTTAGTTTTCTTGGAGAATCAGTCTGTTGAGGCATGCTGTGACTTTCTGGATTTCCTCTAGAAATGAAGAGGTATATTATCCCTTTGAGAAACAAGTATTGTTCAGAAATAAAACGTCTTTGCTTTCTTGAAAAAGCACTACTGTTCAGGTATACTATGACTTCTCGTTGATGTATGATATTTATTTCGGTACTGCTTCGGTGATGGCATTTTGGCGAATTTTGTATTACTTTCAGCTACATCGTTGGATTGGCTCTACTGTGGTATGTGCTTTTTTAATACTGATTAGCAACGGTTTAACTGTTAAAAAATATTTTCACTACAGTAGGTGTAAATTATTAAAAAAATGCTTGTTGACATGGCTCGCCATGGAAAGTAAACTGTTGTCATGCAATTGGCCGAGGGTCCGTTTCCGCTGATGGGAAAGCTAGTCTCTCTAAGATTCGTTTCGATAATTGATTGGCACTGAGATATGTCACGGAGCCAAATCTGCAGTTATCTTCCTTGTCAGCAATCCTCAAATAAATGGCAACGCGCACCAGACTAGCCGGTGCGATCATGCGTTTTGTGCAATTCAGCCCAT